AAAATAAAAATAAACCTTGGTTTTAATCTATTAACGAAATTTTACAATTTATACAACTTATAGGTCGAGAAATGGTTAAATAGATTAACAGACAGTATGCGTTCAAGTGGCCGTCATTACTTTGAAAAAGCAGTAATGTCCTATGACGAGAAACCAAGAAGACTTTGGCTATTTGATTATCCGGCTCAAGCGGCTTTATGCGGCGTTCAAATATGGTGGACTAGTGAAACAAACGAAGCGTTTACGCATTTGGAAGTAGGTCATGAAAACGCACTGAAAGACTACAATAGAAAACAAGTAAAAAATTAATTAAATATTAAAAATGTGTAAGTAAACAAAACAAATTTAAATTGTCAATTTATTTTTAGATAGCGCAATTGAATGAACTTATTGATTTATTGTTGGAAGACTTGACTGTGGGAGACCGTCAAAAAGTGAACACTATTTGTACGATTGACGTGCATTGCCGGGACGTGGTGGCGAAAATGATAACACAAAAAATTGAAACCGCTTCTTCATTTCAGTGGCAGTCACAACTAAGACACAGGTATTATTCAAATACGTAGATATTTAAATTTGAAAGCAATAACTAAAAACGTTTGTCAAAAGGTGGGATTTAAAAGAGGCTGACTGTTTTGCAAACATTTGCGATGCGCAGTTTGGATACTCATATGAATACTTAGGAAACACACCAAGATTGGTGGTGACTCCGTTAACCGACAGATGTTATATAACGCTGACTCAAGTATGCCGACATTTAGTTTGTTTTGTTATTAACAATTGTATATTATGTATCTAGATACAAACGCACGCATTGTTATGATACAGTATTGATTTTACTATTATATTGCATTGGTTTTACAATGACGTTTAATTTTTTTTTTCTTTTCATCTGTGAGTAACTTTTCTAATAGTAATTTTGTAATTTTCAATTATTGCACTTTTTCCGAAAGTAAATCTGACTCGAGTAGTACTTTAGGGAGGTCATTTTTGGTTTTCTCAGCTATTTTCATAGTAAATGAGAAAAACCGGGAAAAACGGGAAAAACGTAGGAACAACAAGAAAATAGGTACAATATTACACAAATATTATTAAAGAAATGCATATTAACTTTAACATAATATGACACATATATTGTTGACAAACCATCACTGTCAACTATTAGCAATGGCTTATCGTGTAATTTACATTAAATTCCCATCTGTATCCTACTTACCCAACTTCTCGCCTAGAAAAGTTGCTGCGCCCGCGTGTAAATTATGCAATTTTTAAGTAACGAAAATACAAAAAAAAATCTAAAAAGAAATATGGAAATGTATTTATATTTTTTTTTTTGTGATTCAATAAGAAATAATCGTAGAAAATTAAAATATTCACCAAATTTATAATAATATAATTTCCAAAACATTTTGCTCATCTGACTTTTTAAATGCCTATAGATACACGAAACTTGTTATTCTCTTTTAATTAATGAGCACAACTATTTTTGTTTCGGTAAAAAAACTCAGCAACTTTATAAAGTTCATCAGAAGTTCTTCTTATTGATAAATGATAATAAATCGGTTCTGCGTTATATATCACTTTTTATTAATACAAATTTAAGTTTAAATTTAGACAAAAAAAGATGAACATACTTTGCACATAGGTGGGCCACTATTGTAGGTGAGAAGTTGGGAAGGTAGTAGAGGATAAATTTAATATTACCTGTAAGCAACGGTAAACCATTGCCAACGAAAAAACGATTCTAAGCGGAGTTTAGTCAACAACCACATAATAGCAAAATAATTGCATAGGCATTATATATTTTCTTTAATAATATTTGTTTAATATCGTCCCGTTTAATATTTTCCCGTTTTTCTTACGTCTTCCCGTTTTTCCAGTTTTATCCCATTAATTAGAAAAATTCCTAAATAAATCAAAAAATTACCTCCTTGAAGTACCTCCCCAATCTGATTTGCAGAATTTCTGGTAGAGAAGTTGTTCACAGGAAAATAAAATAAACATCATTGTAAAACCATAAACTTCTTGGCTCCACACAAAACTTAAAATGTTTAACAGAGTTCTATTTTAAGTATGAATGATAACAACAGTGTCTTAGAATTAATGATACGAAGTGTGTCCATTTCTATTTTTGCTCATACTTTTATTAAATTTATTCTTTTAAATGTTATAGTCACTACATTTGGTAATGGGTGGCGCTCCTGCTGGACCGGCCGGTACCGGAAAAACTGAGACGACCAAAGATTTGGGGAAAGCTATTGGAATGATGGTCTACGTCTTCAATTGTTCCGAACAAATGGATTTTAGAGTAAGTACTAAGTTAAGAATATTATTGTTAAACAGTGTTAACATTATTATTAAAAAGAGGGCTAAGCGCGTCAAGTTTTGGTGTTCTTCTTTTATCATTTTCTTTTCGTACGTTTGTGATAAATATTTTGTAGTCAAATTATTTGGTGATAATTCTAGTGTACTTTTGTCTCCTGGTGTTCCACAATATGCATATTCAATAAAAAATAAGTAATTAGCGTGTTGATTGTGATTTCTTATCGCGTGACGTGTTATTCGGTGAATATTAATTGTAACAATTTTATATTAATTAAAGCCATTATAACTAAGAAACTATTAATGTGCTATGCATTTTTGTCAAATCTGAAATTATAATTTTCGGAATATTAAATCTGCACTCCGTATTTTTTAATAATCTCACTAGTATATACATAAACACACACCTAATAATTGTTGTATTGTCCTTAGTAATATATTATTCTTGTTAAATTACTGTATAAAAAAGCCACAAGGTGTAAACTTTATTAAATAAATAAATGGTTAAATATTATAATCAATAACATGTTATTATAAAAATAAAATAAATATCTGGTTTCCAGTCATGTGGTAACATATACAAAGGCCTCGCCCAAACCGGTGCGTGGGGATGTTTTGACGAGTTCAATAGGATAACTGTTGAAGTATTGTCCGTAGTGGCAACCCAAGTAAAAAGCGTGTTAGATTCCATAAAAGCAAAGAAAAAAACATGTATGCTACTTNCAGTGGGAATGTTCATTACAATGAACCCGGGGTACGCGGGACGAGCAGAACTTCCTGAAAATCTTAAGGCATTGTTCAGGTATGTTGCATGTTTACTCGTATTATGTATTTAATAATTTTCTAAAACAAAGAAAGATTTTAAAATTTGAATTCCCTCCAGACCTTGTGCCATGGTGGTACCAGATTTTGAATTGATCTGTGAAATCAATTTAATAGCAGAAGGTTTTCAGAGTGCGAGAATACTTGCGAGAAAATTCATAACCTTGTATAGCCTTTGCAAAGAATTATTATCAAAGCAAGATCATTACGATTGGGGTCTAAGAGCTATAAAATCTTTATTGGTTGTCGCCGGATCATTAAAGGTAAACATGTTCATTATAAATTATAATAAAAGTAAATTTCGTGAAACCAACAATATAAACATACTTTTAAATTTTAAAGAAAAAATTACATTAAAATAAAACTTTTCCAAGTATTTGAAACATTTATGTAAAATTATAATAATTAAATTATATTATAACTACATATAACATACAAACCAATGTATTTTGAAACAGTCGTAACGTAACAAATTTAATTTCAATTTTAGCGATCAGATAGAAATCGCCCGGAAGATCAAGTTTTAATGCGAGCTCTCAGAGATTTTAATACCCCAAAAATCGTAACTGAAGATACCAGTATATTTATGGGACTAATTGGTGATCTGTTTCCTGCACTTGACGTGCCCCGAAAACGTAATTTAGATTTCGAAAAAACGGTCCGCCAAGCTGCGCTTGACCTGAAACTCCAACCTGAAGACAATTTTATACTCAAGGTCTCCATTTTCATTGTTATTGTCATAAAATGCGCCATTTAAATATACAACCCAATTGTTTTGTTGGCACAGGTAGTACAACTAGTAGAGTTGTTAGAAGTTCGACATTCAGTTTTCATAATCGGTTTGGCTGGTACGGGCAAATCTGAAGTCTGGAAAACACTGTACAAGACCTATTCAAATATGAAATTGAAGCCTTATTTCAATGATATTGAACCGAAAGCAGTTACCAACGACGAGTTGTTTGGTGTTATCAGTGCCACAACTAGGGAATGGGTTGATGGTAAATCTCTGTATAATATGGCATTTACAAGTTTATAAATATGAATTGGGTATACATATCATAGACAATATAAGAATGAATAAGAGTTTATCATAAGAGAACGAACATTTTTATAATTTTAGGTTACAAGGGGTTTCATCAATAAAGTTGGAAATTTGATCAAAAATAATCTATAGTTCATAACTCATTTTACTTTTATTTAGTATGAATTAGTTAAACATAATTAGCGCTTTATAATCAATATAATCATTATTTATTATGTGATAATATTTTGACAAATAATTAGATACCTACATAATACGCTATTAGAAGAAGAAAAAAATGTATACTTATAAATCACAACTCTGGCTTATAAAAGTTCGGTATAAGAATAGTAGGTGCTCAATTGAATTAATTTAATTCATAAGTTTCGTTAATTTAGCCCTGGTACGATTTTCCTTAATATCATCTTTCTAATTTCGCGGAAAAAACGATAATAATAATATCACATTTTATTGAAATAACCACTTGAAATTGTTTTGATAAACAAAATTCAAATACAAATACGTGTATTGAATTTTTATCATTGTGAAATATAATTAATGATAAAACCCCTTGTTGTGTGAGTGGGAGCGGTATAAGCAGTCGGTCTCTCATTCACATTTCGGAACGCGGCCCCTTGTTATATTGATATAGGAGTGGCCTATCCA